ATTCAATATAAATCCATATATAAGGATTGTTACATTTGTAAAATGTCAGCATATTCTGACGACAAAACATTAATTAAACCGCGGTTAGCATTTCATAGGTTTCAGTAGCCGTTTTGGCGAGTCTTTGGCAAAATTTGATGCACACGCCATTCCGAAATCGCAGGAGGGTCGGTGTAATGCACTACCAAAACGCCCGTAACAAAGAAACAAATCAACGAATGTCGGAGAAAATAACTGAGTAATTTGTGAACTTGTTTTCCTACAATTTTAATGAATTACCCTGACATAATTAATTGTCCTCATTTATAATATGGCCGACCGCGACTTGATGTGTAAAAGTGGTTGTTGGAAACCACTCGGATTATTTAATTAAACGGCGATTTAATTTAAATATTTCGAAGAATATCGTGAATAAATGAACTTAATTAAACTTATTGTTATAGACTCTTCATATTAGACCTGTCTGACGCTTAATGCTAATAATATTTTCTACTAATCTCGATATTTTACATGAAAACATTGATATTTCTGTTTAATATAGGATGTGTATTTAATATTCTTCGAAGTTTCTGTAAATGAAATCACAGTTAACAGTTGGTAAACGTTTACATACATTGAATATAATAGAAAGAGCATTAGGTCAAAAGTTCAGTGTGCTCTAATAATTGAAGAATTTCTGGTTATCAATATTCCTTGCTCAGATTCTTTGTTTCGTAATTTAATAAATTTATAGTTGAGAAGGAAATATTTATAAACATTGCCTTTAAAACGACATGTAATGTATACAGTATTCACCGCCTTAGCTTTAACTACATTACTCGTGTGTTTAAATATTTATTTATCGGTTTAAAAATTACAGTCCTGAAATCTGTTGCTTATGTGTTTTTGTTCTTGAGTAGAATGCTGGCTAAAATACGACGCACGCCTGCCCGTTCTCTGGTCCTAAAAACCTAGCTATTTATTAGAGCTTAATAATGCGAAGGAAAGGGATTATGTTATACATAAATGTGAAACGTGGATTAGTTTACCTTCACTTAACGATAGCACGTTTAAGTTAGAAAGTGGAAAATCGTGCTGTACCAGTTATGCTTTTTATTACTAAGCATGAAAGTTCTTGTACCAAAGAGAATCATCTCGTGACATTACCGATGTTCGTAATACAAAAATCTGAAGTAACATCGCATAACATGCTAAAAATAAAGTCATCCTGTGAGAGACAAAGGAGTTGAAGGCAATTTTCCTAAGTGCTGCATGAGTCTGAAATGAGATCATTGGCCCCACATCAAAGGATTACCCGATTGAGCCCGTGCCTTTGGGGGGGGGGAGGGCTCCACAACAATTAGGCGAGTTTGTGAGCTATCTCCAGAATTCTGCCGGTTGCTTGGGGTCTGTGAGCTGGGCTAAAGCCTGGCTTACTATAGGATTAAGTAAGGTAGCGCTCTGAGACGAGAATCACTCAGCTCGACACACAAGAGCGTCTTTACTGCAGCGAGGACAAAATCTTTCTTAGCTACGCCACAAGCAATTGAATACAGAGAGAGAGAATTACGTGAGCATCTCACTACATCCAGTGACTGCTCACGGGAATAAAAGCTCATTTGAACATTCAAGCAGTTATACGTTTCTGGATGGGGTATTTGTATCAGTTAATGCGACTGACATTACACAAAAATTAACGGTAACGACCTGGAACAGTGTTCGCTATGCACTGTACCTGGTTCGAGCCTCTAGGAGCGAGTTGTCCACTACTCTCAATAAAGATTTTTCGTGGTATTTCCCAGTAACTCCTGGGGGGAAACCGCGTTAGTAAATACATGCAGACACATTCTTACCCACTCGTCAAAATATCTCCTGGGGGGAAACCGCGTTACTAAATAGATGCAGACACATTCTTACCCACTCGTCATTCATCATCATCTTCCCATTTCATCTGACGTTATGTTTTTCTTGTAAATGAAAGAGCTTTGTTAAAAATCCCAAAAAACAATAAAACTGTTTCCTTCGGATGCTATCGAAAGACGAGGCCGAGTTGTTAGTACCCTTCCATCACGTTCGGGAGATACTGAGTTAAATCTTTACACGGAGACCGGCTATTCTGACTGAAGTGCTATCTGGTTTTCTTTAGTCACTCCAGGCAATTGTCAGGGTTGTAACTTAACATTAGGTCATAACAACTTCCTTCATGCACCGCTGTAAGCCTGTTGTCTGGGTTGCCGACAGCGTTGTTGAATAAACCACTAATAAATAAATAAATTAACACTGCCGGTGTTTAATGAACTACACGCCCTACGTATTTCTCGTTGAGTGTAGTATGAATGAAGTCTACATATCTAATTCAGTCAGTCGGTAGGCAAATTCAAACATGTTTATCTTCCAAAATAATTTTTTTCCCAGTTTCCTCCGTGTCTGGGCTGATACTTTGTAGGCCATCAGTGACATGGTGTAGTTTTCAACTTACATCATAAAAGGTGAGATGATATTGTTGCGTCATATTGTGATGATTATAATTGTTTAATTTTAACCGTCTAATCACAATAAAATCAAACATTTCGATAGAAAGAGCATCATTTTAATATATTTTAAATATTTTAAATATTAAATGTTAATTGTAGTAATAATATTTTAATATTTAATAAAATATTTTAATGTGATTAGACGGTTAAAATTAAACAATGATAAAAGGTATCATTCGAAGCAACAAAACACATAAAGAACATAATAATTAAAAATCGTCTAGGCGTAGTTGGGAGGATAATATTAAAATAAAACTTGAGGATATACTGCGACAAAGTATGGATTGGATTCATGTGTATATACTGCGGCAAAGTGTGGTTTGGATTCATGTGGCTTATGAGAGAGCCGATGACGGGCTTTTGTGAACTCGATAATAATTCTTCGGGTTTCGTAAATGGCAGGGAAATTCTTGACAGTTGTGAGCGCACTGTCAGCTTTTTAAGAAGAAATCTACTCGCTGGAGTTAGTCATGAAAACACAGGGTATAATTCATGTGAAAGACATTACATGATTCATTATGCTAGAACACGACGATTCAAAATATGTCTGTCAAAATCTTCCTTACTTCAGAAATTTAATTATTAGGGATTATGTAATTATTGTAGTCATATCCTGACTACAAGACTATACGACGTCATAAGTCAGAAGAGTGTAGACGACATATTCACCGCCATCAGAACCTCAATGTCCTTTCTGAAGAACAGCCTCTTCATGATCTTTGTACATCGCCTTGAATTGACGTCCATAAACTTGCAACCACTTAGTTAATTTATAATATTGTAGATGCGCCTAGCATTACCATTTCTTCTAACCTCTAGATTTATGTGGAGTTTTAATTACACGAGCTTTTCCTTCCAAGGGCTTAAGTTGACTTCATAAAATTTTCGTGATAGGGCGGGTATATTGCCTGCATCTCGATTGTACCACAAGATGAGATGGTTCATTACAAGTTCATTGTGGTTACTTTTACACCACAACGAAAACACTAATACGTTTTAACTTGGTTACTAAATCTTATGCAGCTCAGCTGAAGGTAGGATCCGCTCGGTTCCTCCCCGGACAAAGAACCGATAGCTTCGAGAGTTGGCTGATGCAGTCTTACTTAACTATAGCATGATTACCGCGAAAAACTCGCTCCACTTTACAAACTTTTCAAAATTTCGAATCTAATAGCGATTCTCACACCAGGACTTCATGGAGCCAGCCAGGCTTTTTGGCTAACAACGTAAATTCAAACTTGCCTTAGAATGGGCCTTCTATACGAGGTGGAAGAATACAGAGCGAGGTCCATGGTTTCCTTCAAGCTGTTGCAAAGTTATGTTAACCTTTTCGATGATTATAATTAAGATACTGTACTAAGTAGTAGGTCTGAGTTACTATATTTAAATTGCATGCAAAACCTTTAATAAAAATCTCTTTTAATCATTCCCTCCCCAAATAATATTGTATTGCTGAAGTGAAATTATTTACTTTTAATACTGGAGCAAACTACACAAAGTTTCTAAATTTCTTCAGGTACATACTTCTAATGGGTCTATAACATTTGGAAGAAAATTTCACTGTAATAGGCATAGAGTTTGTTGACGACTTACATTTTGTGATGTGGGTTTGAATTATGTGAACGAAATCGTGATATTAAACATTTTGCTGTTTTCTCTGGCATTCCGTATGAACTAATGAGGCAGTCTGAATAGACACGCACTAACCACTTAATTATATTGCGAGATAAAATTCATTTTGAGCAACAAGTAAAGACTATGTAATCTGAAAATGGTGTATAATAGGATACACATCGATCTGCAAACACTATTCAATACCGCGGCTCTTATGAAAATACAAGTTTTCTCGATTTTAAAAACTCAAGTCTTTTTAAAACTTCTCACAAAATGTTCGAACGAGTGGGGGTAACTGACATTCCTAAATCTGATAATTCAAGTCTGGAAATATCTACGGATATTTTATGAGCGAATATTTTCTACGTGTCTGTTATGTCTTAATCATTAAGTATAACGTTTATATAATAATTTCGCCTAAACATCGCATTTATTTCCCTATCCAAGAATATTTATTATTACGTCTCACAATTACACCGATAAGGCCGTAGTCTCAAGGGATTTCGCTGAACCATCGTCTCAACGATCAAACGCACTGGTAGACAGTCACGTGTTGCCAGTTACACGTGTGACTTGCAACGATGTTCCTACCAACACTCTGATACCTTAATCTTCGATTTCATTTATCGGCATTTGACGGTCAAAATGAATATTTGACAAAAGTACCTGCATCCTTCTTCCTGATTCTGGAAATTCCTACATCACACGCAGAGGATAAAATTTCGGTGGGAGTGTAATGAACCTCGTAAGACCACCATGTTTTTTTTTTACTGAATGTATAGTTGTCGTCGTCAAATATTCATCTGAGCGTCGGACTGTGAAAAAATCTAAAATATTATTGACTTCGGAAGTGAAAAGCGAATTGTGACTTACCTGAACCCTGGATTCTGTGAGACCAATCCTCATAGCGATCTCCTCTCTCATGAATATGTCCGGGTAATGGGTCTTGCCGAAGCAGCGCTCCAGCTCATTGAGTTGTGCGGGTGTGAACCGAGTTCGATGTCGTTTCTGCTTCGCTGGTTTGTCAGAGTCGGAAGCTGGGACTGGCCCCAGACTGCCACCATGGCCCTGCTGCTGTTGTTGTTGTCCTGTCTGCTGAGGCGAGAGCGAATCACACAGTGACCCAGCACCCAAGCGACCGGAGTGGTGCTCGGGATTCCCGCCGTGGTCCAGGGAAGAGGATTTCAGCTCGGAGTGGTGTCGTTTCAACTCATCGCAAACTTCTTTCGGACCTGGTAACACATCACACATTCCTATAGCCTACCCGTGTTTCTGAAAGTGACAAATGAAATATAAAATTAAGCGCGTACCGATTTAAAACTTGTAAAATTATAAATTTTGAAGAGTTTCTTTAAAAATGACTGTTCCTTGATTTTAAAATCTAAAAAAAAAAAAAAAAAAAAAAAAAAAAAAAAAAAAAAAAAAAAAAAAAAAAAAAAAAATTGATTCTTCAACTTAAGAATTAAAAGTCCAACAACCAGCGGAAACATTAAATATTGACCTAATTTTCCCTACCTAAAATCACCGTCAATAAAACTTCCGTCATCTTAACTCAAAACTATTTCGGCGAGTGTCAATTTAACTTGCATAAATAATATATTTTTGCTTGCATTAAAAGACCCATAGTGTAACATATATCTATTCAATATGTACAATTATGCGAGGCAAATTAAAGTGTGAGCGAAACGTCTATACGACGGCGTATTCATGAGTTATCGTCGTCCTCATGTCCGGAAAAATTAAATTAACTTTCGATCACACTTATGACAGCTACGAAATTAAGTTATTTCTAGTTTTACATTTTCGTACGAATCTGTTACACCTCATTGCATGCACGAGCGAACAATCTTTTGTTTCAATAAACAGCTTCCATTATGTGAATTATGATAATACAATGGATTCCGGTTAATTAGGACACATAGGGACTAGAAAACTTTGGCCCAATTAAGCGAAGTTCCACGTAAATAATTAAAAAGGTTTGTTCTTTAAGATTTATCCCAAATAAACTGCTTCCCCGATTAACCGATGGACCAATTAACCGGTGGTCGTTAATCTGTAAGGTTAGTTTTTATCATGGAATGTGTATTAGTTAAAAGAAGTTCACATGGATCACTTCAGTAAAATATTGTGGAAAATATCTGTAATCTGAAACCAATAAAATGATTCAAAAATAAACATCTCATTTCCACGTCAAATATACAGGCTTGACGCTCCTTGCATTCAAGTATCCCACAAAGGTCATTAGATACATGTGACCAAACTGTACAATTAATCATCCTAATTTACACGTCAGAAATCGATATTTGTTGTTGGTAAGATTTTAATTTCTCACGGTGGCGATTACGAAAATGACAGCCTGATTGTAGCACAGCGTGTCCATACCTGAATATACAAACGCACGTGATATCTTACTGGAAAGACAGCAAAGTTTCACCTAATATTGACTTGTTTAAAATCCACGTTACTATATTAAAGAACCATAAAAGGATGTGTCCATTTCATTTAATACATCAAATGTATGGTTTGTGGTCTTGTGGGTTATAATTCTGTGCAGTATTCTAAACTCCACTGACTGAGACGAGACAATCAGTGTAAGCAGAATCACGTGAAAAATCCCGTAGATAAAGACGGGCCAGCCACGTGGTTATAGGGTTAAAGGACCAATATAACATTCACTTATGTGCCTCGACTTTGTGAATATATGAGGTAGTTACCATAGATTCTGAAGACCTTGAATTACTTCTACACTCATCATGAAGGTGGTAGGTTCCCCTTAAACTTTGTGCAATCACATACAAGACTTCACGGGGTCATGACTCACAACATCAAAAAATTCAAATTTTGACTTCCGTGGAAACATCAAATTTTCGATTTTGTAGTTTAGATGCGTCATGTTTGTGTTGAAATTCAGTATATATTTATTTATTATTTCAGTCTATATACAAACTTAATTTTTAATTTTTAAAAATGTTGTTGTTAAAATTAAAATTAAAATTTAGCGCTTTTCATCGTTATTACGATGTTACATTTCAGCGCTTATTATGGTTGCATTAATAAATATATATTAGTTTTAAAGATGAAAATAACAATAAAAACCTGAGGATGATGCAATAGCATCGAAACATGTCGTAAAATAATAAGCGCTAAATTTTAATTTTAATTTTAACAACAACATTTTTAAAAATTAAAAATTAAGTTTGTGTATAGACTGAAATAATAAATAAATATATACTGAATATCAAATTTTCATTTATAAAACTAGTAAAAATCCGAATAATCAAATAGACTATTCACTTCTACAACAAAACAATAAAACTCAATACGAAAATATCAGGGAATATACGTATTTTATTAGTCTTTGTATGACGTGTTTAAATTGTCATATGCGTTTCCTACAAGTATCAGTTTTTCGTACGCCACTGTTCATGTTGTAACAACATAACACTTCATATTATTTGATTAACGGCAGGCCCATATAAAACGCTTGGTAATAAGAAAACTTACGTTGGTTTATGGCTGCAAACACGTACAATATGCAAATAAGATAAAATATATTGGCAGCTTTTGAGATGACGTTTATAAGGAAGACGATGTTCATAAACTATTCTATAAATAAAACACACTTGAACTTATCTAAAATCAAACATCGTCATGCTTTTATTCAAAATCACAGAGGCCTCTGAAGTCTGGACGTTGGTACAACTCCACAGATTATGTCTTGCATTTCCCGTAAGCTTACGGCCAATCAATCATTTAATTCCCTCATAACGAACAGTGTCATATTCAGGAAAAAGATATGACGTCATGGTGACGTTAACAGTTAAATACAATAGAATATTTGTGGCTCTGTGTGTCCTTTTGCCATGTTAAGGGATTTTCGACCTTAAGGTTTACATGACGTAATAAAACCACTGTCCATTTTCCGGCCATAACCCACAATTCTTTTCAGGGCGTGATGTTCTTAACTGATATTATGTGATCTGCGCACGATGTGCACAAAATGAGTACAATGGGACCCGACTAAAGTCTGTCTGTCTGTCTGTCTATGATTCAATCATATTTTCATGAAAATCCGTCCAGTTCTCGGACGGATTTTCATGAAACTTGATACGTAAAATGTAAACTCTTGTTTGGTTGTTTTAAAATGTTTATTTGTTCGTTGTCTATTTAACGATGATGTCACTAGCACAGTGTAGATAATAAATAATGAAAGATAAATCATATGAAAGGAATCTGTCATGGCCCAAGTATTATCTCGGAATTTTCCTGAAGGGACTGAGTAAAACTATAGAAGACCTTAGTCAGAGTGGACTTTCTCGGTGTCGAGATTTAAACCTGGGAATTTCTGAATACGAAGTGCTTAACGCAAGACGAAAGCACACACTAGCATAAAGAATTAGAAGGCGGCGTATATACTGAATGTTGAAACGAAGCCTCTGTTTTGCATATGAATTCACTGCATGACAACATTAGTTCATGGCTACTTTTAATGGTCACAGATTTGCATGAGAATCTCAAGTGCGTGTTTCTGGATCAGTTGGTAACACTTCAAGTGCTGAAGAAGTTTAAACATATCGTACATTTGCACATTTCATATTTAACTAAGCTTACAACAGAGGTTATTCAAACTTCGGATTGAGGAAGACTTTGATTCACGCAGAGTTCCTCGTTGTAGAGGAATGTCATTACAGAGGTCCAGCGCCACAGTTTGACATATCTTAGCGGAAAAAGTACAAATTACGTACGGTAAAGAATCTGCCACGTAATTTACATTGCGTTAAGAATGAAGATGTTAGATAAATCTCTCGAGGTTCGTTTTATACTTCGTTTGGTCTAATTTTACTCTATAAAATCATGCACACAAACGAAACTGTTTACATATGATATAACACTTTGTGAGAAACACGTTTCGATCTCAAGACTTCATCGTCAGTGGCAAAAATATTAATTCATTAGTCTGTCTATTAAAATAATAAAATTTATGAAACGATGTTTTGTTATAAAGCACTGTAAAACGTCGCACTTTATAAAACCATACTTCGTGTAATACCACACTGGACGTTTAATTGCATTGTACACAAGGTTTTAAGATAATTTTACTCTATTATATATTTTCTATTATAAGAAATCTATTGACATCATGTAACTTTACTGTGAGCTATGTGAAATCTGTTTTATTAAAATGCGGATTTATTATTTTGAACATTTATGTCACACATTTGTGGTCTGCAGTGGCCGCGCGGTCTGGAGCGTGGGCCTTGTGTCGCTTGGTCGCTGGGACCGTGGGTTCGAATCCCACTCAAGCCATGGATGTTTGTCCGCGTTGTCCTGTGTACAGGTAGAGGCCTTGCGACGGGCCGATCCCTCGTCCAAGGAGTCCCACCGAATGTCTATAGATCGAGTTGGGACCCGCAGTGCTCAGGCACTTGAAGAACGGGTCGTTCCCAGTATCCAGTATGCGCCACATTTAAAGACTGAATAAGAGGTATAGAAAATGAAATTTTCTCCTATCAATGGACCGCTGACGGTTGGACTGAAATGCTGTTAAAAAAAGAGCTATGTATTCTTGAGTGGTCCATCTGAAGCCACTTTCCTCTGCTATACATTACATCTCTGATTGAAACAAGCACACCGAGACTTCTGATGTAAATTTTAAATTGTTTTGTAACTTAATTTTAGCATTATTATTAAGCCAGTTTAAAAAGTCCGTTGAAATTCCACAGGGATTTTCCCCCCGCAAATTAATTCATGACGATGGAGCCAGCAAGGACCTCTGAAACGTTGGTGGAAATCTACCAGACCCACCGCCGCGAACATCTCGAATCCTACTTTATATTTTCATTTATAAATTTTCCGACTTTCCTCCGTGTTCATTTCCTATGTCTTCTCGGTTAATCAGCCCCTCAAAGGATTTCCTGCTATGAAGCATATTCCACATGAAGTAAATCGTCTATTCATATTCCATTATTTCGATGTATTAAACACATAACATAACCCTTGAAAAAAATACTTTCTCTCTCTTTGAAGTGTCATATCTGTAGTCTGATTAGCTTTGTAAGAATACATTCGTAAGATTTTATGGAATAAATGAACATCAGGGTCAATGAAGTACCCAAGATATTGACGAATTTGGGCAACTACTCTTTGAATTGTAGTTTTTTTCTGTTATTAGACTGTGTAGCCTTGTTGCTGAGGAACCTGTCTCCACCACATTAAGGGTAGAAGACAAAGG